AGGAGAGTGACCCCCCGCCCTCGGCCGCTGCTGTGAATTTGGGGATCACTGCTTCAGCCGCTGCCTTCCCGAGCCTCCCCGCCACCACCTCTGATCCCTCTTCCCGCTTCCAAGTCGCGCTGCTCCCTCTCCTGCCGTGCCGCCTCCGTCCTGCAGAGATCCCAGGATTTTGGGTTGGGAAAGAACCGCAGCTGCCAGGCTTGCCGAGGGCTTTAGCGCTGGAGATCCTTGCCTGCTTTTTTGGGCAAAACCTGGGATGTCGGCGCGACTAGCAGATGCTTTTAGGGAAATTCTCCAAACGGGAAACCAGTTTGGCTAGCTAACGCTATTTTAAACGTTACCATTTTGGAAATGGTTCCTACACTCGAGCTTTGTGGTATAACTTAATCTGTCGTTATATACCAAAGAGGTTCACTGCTTTCTTGAGTTGTTCTTCCTAGCTGGAATGGAAACGAGTTGCTTGTCGGTTAACGCTTCGGGCTTGCAGTGTGCCGTGGTGAAGGTGCTGTGGTACAGCTCAGGAAAGGGGGCACTGGTGGAAATTGCTTTGGGTTTGGGTTTTGATTTTTTTTTTTATATAAAAAACAAAAAAAAATATTGCCAACTTCTGTCTGGTGTTATTTGGAGATCTCCTGAGGTGCTGGTGACATCACAGAAACTGGAATCCTTACTTTTATAATTCCAGGTGGGTTTTCAGTGCACGCCAGTGTTGCGTTGGAGCATGAGCACGACTCGCGGTGACTTGTGGGGCTGCGCAGCCGCAGGGACGGGGCAAATTCCGCATCTCTTGTTGCTTAACTGGCACAGAGTCCTTCCCCCGCCGGGTTTGCTGTGTATTCCAGAGTGTTCTGTGCAGAGTGTCGGCTTCGTGCCTTTGCTGGTGATGGCTTCTGTCGAGTGTTTTTAGCTTGGGAGAAAAGAGCAACCGTGAAGATATGCCAGCCTGACAGCGCTGGTTTCTCTGCGTCATCGCTTGTAGGCCCCTGCTCAGGCTTCTCTGCCTCCGCTGCGTGTTCTCTCTGAAGCTGCAGCCTGCTCCTGTAGCCAGCGTGCCTCGGGCGAGTGAATTTCTGAGCTGATTATTTCATGGGCGTTAGCGTTTCTGCTGTGCACTTGCACAAGCGGGCCTAGAAGCAAACAACCGAAGCGACTGTTGCTTGGGTCTGGCGTGAGCTGTCGATGGAAACGGAGCTTTATTCTCCAGTTGTTCTTTGTAGCGAATGCGCCCAGGTCCTGATGTGGGCGAGCGCGCCAGCGCTGACCTGGCTCCAGCTGCCTGGTGGCAGGGTCTGCCCGAGGCCGGATGCGTTAGCACCGAAGGAAAGGGATAAATTTCACCTGGAGCAAAATCTTCAGAGCCCTCTCGGTGCGTTGGAGACCGGCAGCCTCTCTCAGCCTTTTGTTTTCCTGAACCCTGCGGCTGGGAGGGCGGGGAGGGGACCAGCAGGCGCGGGGAAGGCGTCTGCGCCTTTGGTGACAGGCCGGAGCGAGCTGCCGGACCCCGCTCCCGTGCGCCGCGGCAGTCGGTCAGTTTTTCGAGAGCGCAGATGCGCAGGGAGCAGAACACCTCTTTCTAGGGCCCTGCTGGCGTTTCGCCCTCGCGGGGTGCTCTGGGGCCCTGTGGTGAGCTCCTGGCTCTACCCTGCCCCGGCCGTCTCGGGGTTTCTCCCCGCGTTTGCAGACTTTGTGGCTGTAAGGGCAGCCGGATGCCCCAGGCTGGCAGGCCCGTTTTGTCCAGAGCCGCAGAACCAAGCGGACACGTACACTTGCGCCCTTTTATTTTGTTTCTAACACGTGAGAGGGAGAGTATGAAGACAATTATTTTTTCAAAGTCGCCCTAAGGCAGGCTTTCGATATGCTGCGGGCGCAGTGTGTCCGGGCGGTGTATTTCTGCCTCCGCTCCTGGCACACGGCTCGAGGAG